TTTTATAGATCATTTAGAAAGATTAAAGAAACTCACCCTACCCATGACAGCCCCTGCTCAATCGAAGGTCCCATTAAACATGAAAGAGACTCTTATTTTCTGCTTTCCAACTATGGATTTCTGTCTGTCTCTCCACAAATTGTATCATTGGCCATTTAACTTTTAAAGCTTGCTTTCATATTTATCATCTCATTTTATCTGTGAATGCCGTTAGGGGCGTAAGTAAAATAGAAATAACAGCTCCATTGTTCCTTTGACTACAGTTCACAGTCGAGATCTTACCTCTTTCTTGAAAATGTCAAGTGTATAAAAGTAAATGACTAGGAGCAGAGTATGGAAGAGCCATGGCTGGAAGGGCACAGGGGTCGAGAGAGAAGGGTCTGGGGAAGAATGAAGAACAGCAGGAATGAGAACCACCACATTTTGGGGTTAGATGTTCAGAAAGCGTTAGGAATTCATTTCTGAATTCTTAAATGGCATGGGAAAGAAAAAAATACCTGAATATGTAAGGCTATTTTACTACAAAGTCTCCACATATGGGAAAGAAGGGCACACCACCCTCTTTACATGTGTAACCAACTTCTGGGAATCGTGTTACTCAACTGGGGTTAGGAGCATCTCTTCTCAGAAATAAGCTGCTCTGAAATTTGGGACTGTGTTGAAATGTCAAATCATCTGTCCTGTTCATGTTTTTTAACTCAGTGTGTGTGTGTGTGTGTGTATGTGTATATATATATATATATATATATATATATATATATATATCAATGATCTTTCACAAAATGTTCACAAGTCCTAAAAATGAAATCTAAACTTGAGTGGTGAAGATTATATGTCTATATGGCATGCAGATAAAATGTACTGCTAATGGGGGTGAGTAAGCTGAGAGGAGAGTGTTCAGAGTCAGAAATCACACTACTGTACAAATTACAGGTGACTTCAATTAGACTAGTTTCTTTTCCCCCAGAAACTATTTTTGCTTGGAAGGGACTAGCTAAGGCTGGGCGTGGTGGCTCACACCTGTAAGCCCACCATTTTGGGAGGCCGAGGCAAAGCGATCTCTTGAGGCCAGCAGTTTGAGACCAGCCTGGGCAATATATTGAGATCCTGCCTCTACAAAAATTTAAAAAAGAAAAAGAAAAAAAAAAAACTTAGCACCTTGTGTTGGTGTATACCTGTAATCCTAGATACATGGGAGGCTGAGGCAGGAGGACTGCTTGAGCCCAGGAGGTCAAGGCTGCAGTGAGCCATAATCATGCTACTGCACTCCAGCCTGGGTGATAGAGTTAGACCTGAATTCAAAATAGATAAATAAAAGTGCCAACTAAAAAAAAGCCTGTCTTTTAGGCAGGGTGAAAGTTTTATCATAGTAGGCTGTCAATGAACAGCCCTTAATTTAAAATTCTGCAACTGAAAAATGGAGGACATTAGAAAAGTCATTTACAAAATTATAAAAATATATTAGAAATAGATCAAGGAAAACAGATTTTAAAGGAATTGATATTCTGTGTTTTAAAAGAATACCCATATGACAGTCTTTTATTGGGTGGAGTTACTGCAGGCTTGAAAATAACTGTTTACTTTTCATGAAGACAAGAACTAGATAAAAGCGGTCTAGCCTCTCTGATAAAGCTGTGATCTGGAGAAACAGGTGGTCTCATAGCCAAACTAGATGAAGAGGCTTCAACCAACTAATCCCTGAGAGGAAACAATTCTAAAGTTTTCTAGGAGGACAGGGTAAATGATGCAAAGGATTCCAGTGACTTCTGGAAGACGGAAGCATCCAGTTCTTCCTGCCTGAGTCCCTCCCTCTTCATTTGGGACTCTTCCTCCCCAGCCACCCTTCTTTCCAACGCCCACCTCCTTCTGCCCCTCTCCTTCCCCTAATTTCCACCTCAGATTTCCAGTGGGTTCATTAGAAACAGTCCAACTTCATTCAAAATAATAATGTTGAAATCACCCACCAAGTTTTTTTTTTCCTAATTAAATTGCTGCTGTAGTGAATTGATTAATCTGATTTTTTGTTTTTTTTTTTTTAAGACAGTCTTGCTCTGTCACCCAGGCTGGAGTGCAGCGGTACCCTCTTGGCTCACTGCAGCCTCCATCTCCCAGGTTCAAGAAATTCTCCTGTCTCAGCCTCCTGAGTAGCTGGGATTACAGGCATGCACCACCACGTCCAGCTAATTTTTGTATTTTTAGTAGAGACGGAGTTTTACCATATTGCCCAGGCTGGTCTCGAATTCTTGACCTCGGATGATCCCCCCACCTCGGCCTCCCAAAGTATTGTGATTACAGGCATAAGCCACTGCACCAACTCTAATCTGATTATTTTTGTGAAAGACTTCAGGTAAAACACAGCATACACAGTTATCAGTCTCAGCTAGCACACTTAGAGAAGGCTGGCAATAGCAATGAGTGTAGTTTCCATTTTCTAATTGATTGCTATGTGCCAGGCAGGGCTGCAGAGCTTTTTATACCTTATCTAATCCAACTCTCATAATAACCCTCTGAGGGAGGTCCTACTTATTAGTTCCATTTGACAGTTGATGAAACATGGCACAAACTTATAGCCTAAGACAGGGGTCAGCGAACTGTGGCTAGTGGTCAAACAAGACTCTAAGGAGGGACTGGCACGTGCAGGCCCTGTAAGTCACAGTGTATGTGGTTGCTTTGGAGCTTCAATGGCAGAGTTGATCAGTTGTGACCAAGACCTTAGGGCCCGTAAGTCTGAAACTATTCAGTATCTGGCCCTGCCTAGAAAAAGGCTCACCAACCCCTAGTGTAGAGCACAGCTGATTCATGAATAGAGAAAAAGGCAAGAACATCTGACAGCTTTACAAAGAACTTACACTGAAATTTTCTGAGAAAAAATAATTCCATCTCTGTGTGTTTTTTTTTTTTTTGAGATGGAGTCTCACTCTGTCGCCCAGGCTGGAGTGCAGTGGTGTGATCTCAGCTCACTGCAACCTGCACCCCTGGTTTCAAATGATTCTCCTGCCTCAGCCTCCTGACTAACACACCACCACACCTGGCTGATTTTTGTATTTTCAATAGAGGCAGGGTTTCACCATCTTGGCCAGGCTGGTCTTGAACTCCTGACTTCATTATCCACTCACCTCAGCCTCCCAAAGTGCTGGGATTACAGGCATGAACCACCACGCCTGGCCTGTTTTCTTTCAATCATCTCTTACCTGTTTCTTCTCACCTAAGGTTTATCAACCAGCCTCAGGAAAAAATTAAAGTGTTTATGGAATACCAGTTCAGTAATTAAAGGTTTCTCTCCATAAGATAAGTTTTGATTAGCTGGAAAAGTTTCCAAAAAAAAAAAAAAAAAAAAAAAAAAAAAAGCATAGACCAAAGAGAGCTTTAATAACCACGTTTCCTGAGAGGCTGTACAATTTTTTGGCTGTTTTATGGGTATTTCTTCTCAAGTACAAATGACATCATTGTTGAAATTTTTTGAAAACAGGCCTGCTGTATTCTACATTTGATACCACATATTGTTTTAGTTGACCATCAATTGACTTTTCTATTTTTACCGGGAAGGTACATAACTATTTTTAGTAGACAGGGTCTGGTTCTATCATTGCTGATCACACATGGTCATGCTTTAGAATTCTTTTTCTAAAGCTATGAGAGTGTATTTGAAGGAGAGAACGTGCTCATCGTCAATATCTTACTGTTCTCTGAAACATACTCTAGAGTCAACGTTTAGAACAGCAAACAGGTACCAGCCAATGAAAGAATCTGTTGTATTACCAGGCAACAAGGCAGGCGTAGCTTTATAATATATAAATTCACCCTTGAGATAGTAATATTTTTAACTATAATTGCCAGTGAGTTAACATCTGAGCTTCTCTGATAATTCTTGCTTTATCCTTTAAAAAAGGACCCAGAAATCAAAATCAAATAGCTGAATTTCCAGAGGATGTGACCTGGCACATAAGCTGAGCTCAATTCACATGAAGTAATTTGCGCAAGTAATTTATAATTATAATAACTTATGCAAACTAATTTATACAGGATTACTCTCTGTAAAAGTGAACCTCTAGAGGGTGGGCATCGTGGCTCACACTTGTAATCCTAGCACTCTGGGAGGCCAAGGCAGGTGGATCATGAGGTCAGGACTTCAAGACCAGCCTGGCCAATATGGTGAAACCCCATCTCTACTAAAAATACAAAAAAAACCCTAGCCGGGCATGGTGGCTCACGCCTGTAGTCTCAGCTACTTGGGAGGCTGAGGCAGGAGAATCGCTTCAACCCGGAAGGCAGAGGTTGCAGTGAGCCGAGATCTTGCCACTACACTCCAGCCTGGGCAACAGAGCGAGACTCCATCTCAAAATAAAAAAAGAAAAAAGTGAACAGAAAGGAGACATTGAGACAAGACAAAGCCCATGACTTTTCTCTTTCAATCCTTTTCCCAAACACCAACCAAACCAATACAGGAATAGCAAGAGAGCAGTGGCTGTAAACTTGTCTGCACATTAAAATCACTTGTGCATCTTCAACAATTCCACCACCCAAGCCACACCCAGGCCAATGAAATCACAGTTGCTGAGTGTGAGATTCAAGTCTCAGTAGTTTTGGAAGCACCCAGACACCAGTAGAGAGTGGTGATTAAGGTAAGGACAGCTGAGGGGTTCAGTCATACACCTGACACTCATGCTCCAGGAGACCTGAGCTCTCCCCCATCCTCATCTGCCCCACTGTGAGTCACTCTGAGATCGTGGGTGTAGGATTTATTAACACATCATACTGGTATGAGCACAGTATCATCATTTTTGCTCCTCCCTCATAACTAATTTGTTAATGCAAATATTAAGAGGATGTTAACACAGTGAGTTACCGCCTTAGGTTTTCTCTTAAGTTACTCTCTCTTTAAACATTCACATCCCTTCTGCCTCTTAGAAGACATCCCCTACACCTGGCTTGGCTTTGCTGTTTCTTTTGCAAGCATATTTCTCCTGCCTGGCAAACATTAAAAGCGGAGTCTGCCTTACCTCGACGATGCTTTTTAAATCTTGCACATAAGTCCTTTCGGTCTCCAGAATTTCCTGAACAACTCTATCCACATAGAGGAGCTTGGGGCTGGTGGCCGAGTCTGCAGTCGTCTTGGGTGCCCCGTTTGAGTCCACTTTCCATGGTGCCCTGGGCTGCCTTTCACTGCCCTCGTCCACGTTCTGTTGCCCGGTGGCGGGGCTGTCCCTCTGCAGCTCGCTGCTGGAAAATGGCCTGGCCGGAATCAGCTCCAGTTTTATGGCCCCTGCTTCCTTATCCTGGTTAAACAAGCCCAAATGGCTATTTGAAACTAAGGTCATTCTGCTGCCGAAGGAACCGTGGCTGTCCCGGGAAGAGGCCGAGGACGACGTGGAACCGAAGCTGATGGGTCGGTCGCTGTCAGAGAGCTCCATGGTCTTCAGTTCTTGGGGGCAGGAATGCCTGGCTGTCGTGTTGGGATTGGGAACTTTCGTTACAGCTGATGGCACTTCAAGACGCAACTGGTGCCCATCTATATGCATTAAAGGAAACAAATGAAAAGGACAAGATAAGCAATTCTATCAAGCAGAGAGCTGAAAGGAAGTAAAATCCTAGTTCAAATAAATATAGTCAATAACAAAAAGGTGGCCAGTTATAGAAGGGAATACAAAGGTACCCGTGGTGGAGTGAGATGCAAAATCAGTGTTTCCGAAGCATCATCTGGGTGCCTGTTAGAAATGCAGAGTCTCGGGTTCTGATCTGGACCTGCTGAACTTGAATCTGCACTTTAATAAGATCCCAGAATGACTTACAAGCATTAAAATTTGAGAAACTCTACATCTGTTGTCTCAAAAGTGTGACCACCTGGAATGACTCCTATGCAAATTAGTCTAGATTCACTAAATTAAGGGCTCAGCGGTCAGGGCACCAGGAATCTATCACTTTAACAAGCACCACAAGTGATTCTTATGAACTTAAAAGGGACCCTATGTGATTCCTACGAATTTTTGAAAAACCTTGTTCTAGATTTTGAGTATTTCACCATAATTCCACAATATTTTAGGCTAGCATCCTGGAGCCACCATCATTTGATTTAAATGATACTAGCAACTTTACATTTTACTTGCATACAGCATTAAAGAAAGTGTTACATAGATAGTAATTTTCTAATACCGGGCAAGGAAAAGATATAGTCATACACAGCAGAATGATGTTTTAGTCAACAATGAACTTCAGGCCAGGTGCGGTGGCTCATGCCTGTAATCCCAGCACTTCAGGAGGCTGGGGTGGGCAGATCACTTGAAGCCAGGAGTTCAAGACCATCCTGGTCAACATGGCAAACTCTGTCACTACTAATACAAAAATTAGCTGGGCACGGTGGTGCACGTCTGTAATCCCAGCTACTAGGGAGGCTGAGGTACGACAATTGCTTGCACCTGGGAGGCAGAGGTTGCAGTGAGCTGAAATTGTGCCACTAAACTCCAGCCTGGGTGACAGAGCGACACTCTATCTCAAAACAGAACAACAAGCTGCATATATGACAGCTGTGAGAGCAATCTGCCGTACCATATGCCTAGGTGTGTAAAGGTCTATGCCATATAGGTTTGTGAAAGATACTCTGTGATGTGCATACAATGACAAAGTTGCCCTATCACACGTCTCAGAATGTCCCTCCCATGCTTAAGTGATGCATGACTGTATGAAGACCTACACCCCACTGAAAACTTACCCTCTCTCCATAGCACTTCTCTAGATCACTTCCTAAAAACTGGCATTTCATTTGTGGCATACATGAAGTTATACTATTAGAGAGTATGTCTGATTAACTGCAACACTCTACAAGTACAGTTATAAAATCATATAATTATATGATGAATACAGGAACTAAATTATGAGAACAATTATGATAAAATGGAGCTGTCTTGTTCAGAGGAGGGCAAGAGGAAAAGCTATCCACAAAGTCAAAAGGTCACTGAATACCCGCAGCATTTAAATATCACGTTGGGCCCCAAAAGGACCCACAGGAAAATTAAATATTCAGAAGCTATTTGGGTAAAACACTCAAAATGCCAATCTTCCTCATTTGTAAGGCAGGGGTCAACATCCCCCCTGCCACCCAATGCCCCACCACCAATATTGAGATTCCACATCTAAATTTGCTAGGTTACCTTACCACAGAAACATGTTTACAGGTTTCATTAGAAAAACGGAAGAGAGAAACTTATGTTTGGAAGGTTATAATGTGACAAACACAGTAAAAAAGAATACATAGTAACGATCGTTTTTCAATAGTCCCGTAAATTTGGTTTGATTCTATAATAAAGATCATTAAACACTTGGTACTAATGTTTTTAGAATATAAAGAATCCATCAAGCCTGTTCTTCAACATACTGACTTTTTCTAGATAATTTATATTTATGACAAATATTAGTACTAACTTATGATGCAAATAAAGTTATGAAGATAAAATGAAAGAATTCCGAGTCAAGAAGGAATGCTAAGATGTGTGGAAAATGAGCAGTTTGTCTGCATAACCACTACCACATGCTAGAGTTTGCTGCAAATTTTTAAAGCTTTTGCAATATTCTTCCTGCTGGTTCTATAACAACTTCGTGGCCTATAAAACATGAATTGGTTATACTAGTTAGCATGCACTTGACCTAGAAAGCCTGATCCAACTTGAGTGTGGCAAAAATCCAAGCAGCAGTCATGCAATTAGGTACGCTTACAGTAAGGATGCTTGCTCACATTTGGGACTGGTGTTGAGAAAGTCATGGGCAGTCCAAAGTAGGAGCGGACACAACAGAGTTTTCTTTCCATTCGCATCCACCATCACCATGACCATCAGGCTGATCTCGCTGTAGGAAACGGACACTCGCTTGGGAAGTATCTGAAGATACTTTGAGATCCCAAGGGTCCAATGAGGCTAGGATACGGGACTAACCATAAGTTGGATGTACTCTGTAACAGGGGTGCAGTACCACTGGTCCACGGCCTGTCAGGAACCAGGCAGCACAGCATGAGGTGAGCGGTGGGCAAGCGAGCATTACTGCCTCAGCTCAGCCTCCTGTCAGATCAGCAGCGGCATTAGATTCTCAAAGGAGTGTGAGCCCTACTGTGACCTACGCATGCCAGGGATCTAGGTTGCCCACTCCTCATGAGAATCTAATTCCTGATGATCTGAGGTGGAACCGTTTCATCCTGAAGCCATCCCCACTCCCCACGCCCACCACCTCAACCTACCCTTCATCCTTTGAAAAATTGTCTTCCACAAAACCAGTCCCTAGTGTCAAAAAACTTGAAAGGCCAAGACATCTGGAAGGGTCTACCCCCCATAGATCTGGACACACTGTCTCCAGGGCAAGTTCTGATTTTCTAACTGGACAAGAATCAATCTCTCCAGAACAGAAAACTGTCACACAGTTATGAAACCCTTGGCACTCACTACATTCATGATCAGTACTAGTGACAAATGGGCACAACAGAGACATATTTTCTTATCATCACTTCTTTTCTCTACTTACTTTCACTCCAAGTTATATAACCAATATTGGGATAGAAGGATTAAAGAGGGAAAAAATTGCTTTTAGAAAAGTCTAGTTGGGCTGCTAGAAATGACAATGTTTTTAGAAATACTTTCAAAGGCTGGATGTGGTGGCTCATGCCTGTAATCCCAGCACTTTGGGAGGCTGAGGTGGGTGGATCACGAGGTCAAGAGTTCAAGACCAGCCTGGCCAAGATGGTGAAACCCCGTCTCTACTAAAAAAATATAAAAATTAGCTGGGTGCAGTGGCAGGCACCTGTAATTCCAGCTACTCAGGAGGCTGAGGCAGGAGAATGGCTTGAATTTGGGGAGGCAGAAGCTGAAGTGAGCTGAGATCGCACCACTGCACTCCAGCCTGGGCAATAGAGTGAGATTTTGTCTCAAAAAAAAAAAAAAAAAAAATTCCAAAGGTGGGAAAGAGTGGGATATAAAACTCAGATTAATAGGGACCCCCTTCATGAGTAGATCTTAAATAGCAACACGGATTGGGCACTGCCACAGGGAAAGCTTCATATGTTCCAAAGCAGTCCACATACAGTTGGCTGCCAACCAGGCACTTTCTAAAATAGACAACTTCAGAAGTTTGGTGTCCGCAGTATTTAGCCAAGCTTACCACCCCAAACTAAAGACCTTCCAAAATTACCAATGACAGAAGTGAAACATTTAAAGTCAGGTCATATAATGGCATGTAATATGAGACCACACTTGCTAATGGATAACGTTTTTTATGTTGAATCATTGCTTAGAAGATAATTATAGTTTCCTCACATAAGAAAATGTACATCATAAAAACCGTCTAGCCTTGTTCTCACTTTCCTCAAAATAATTTTAAGATTTCCACCCTGTCTGGCCTATACTAATGCAACTCACCAATTATTAATATTTATCTCTAGAGCAGCGTTACTCCATACAGTAGCCAGTGGCCACATGTGGCTACTGAGAACTTGAAACGCAGTCAGGCTGGGTGTGGTGGCTCATGCCTATAATCCCAGCACTTGGGGAGGCTGAGGCAGGTGGATCACTTGAGCTCAGGAGCTCGAGGCTGGCCTAGGCAACCAAGTAAAACCCCATCTTAAATACAAAAAATACAAAAATATAGCTGGGTGTGGTGGCATATGCCTCCAGCCCCAGCTACTTGGAGTCAAGGCCGCAGTAAGCCATGATCGTGCCACTGCACTCCAGCCTGGGTGGCAAAGTGAGACTCTGACTCAAACAGAATAAACGTAGTCAGTCTGAATTGAGATGTAAGATACACACCGGATTTCAGTGACTTAGTATGAAACTAAAAACATGAAATTAAACACCTCATTAATAATTTTTATATTGTGTACTGAAATAATATTTGGGAGTAGGTTAAATAAAATATCTCATTGAAATTATTTTCACTGGTTTCATTTTACTTTTTTTAGTTTAAATTTATGTGTATTTTTTGAAACAGGGTCTCACTCTGTCACCGAGGCCGGAGTGCAGTGGTGCAATCATGGCTCACTCCTGGGTTCAAGTCATCCTCCCACCTCAGCCTCCTGAGTGGCTGGGACCATGCCACCACACCAGGCTAATTTTATTTTTAATTTTTGTAGAGATGAAGTCTTACTATGTTCCCTAGGCTGGTCTTGAATTCCTGGGCTTAAGTGATCCTTCGATCTTGGCCTCCCAAAGTGCTAAGATTATAGGCGTGACTCACTGCCCCTGGCCTCATTTTACTTTTTTAAAATGTGGCTACTAGAAAATCAAAAATTACATAAGTTGTTCGTATATATTTTAGTCGGACAATGCTGATCTAGAAGTCTTCCAGATAATTACATTATTTCTAAAGATTTAAATTTACCTCCTTATCATTCTTTGTTCAAATAATAGTGAATGAAGAGATATATACAACTCAAAGTTTGCATTTTTGTTTTTTACACCACTTACTAATGCACAATATTATTTAAAGTTAGCAAAAACAGAGTTGGGAGGCCATCGCTGTGTAGCAGATATTGGGCTA